GAATCAGCGTATGCCTCCTCAAGGGAAATTCTCGCAGAAACCTCAAAAACGGTCATTTTCAACAAATTTTAGCATAACCGACGCCGTCTCCCCTCTCTTTAATTCTAATAACTGTATTAATATGAAGAAATTGATGTAGGCCTGTTCACGATAAACTGATGTAGGCAGCTCTATTTGCCTTAAATAAGCTCCATACTGTATGTGTGGTATAACGGTAGTATTACTTAGGCGCCTTATTTCATTCGGCTTCATCTTCAACACATTCCCATTGTCACCGCACTTAGACCTTTGGATAATTTCAGTTTATGTTTCTTTATAGCTCAAAAGCCTTGACCATACCATTATGTGCGTTTGTTGCCTTTTCACAATCAACATCTCCAGTTCTCCGTTGATCTGTTGCTGGCACTACTTACTACACTGAGAGGACGTGAATTTATTCACATGGATCACAGTGCTTGTTAGGTAGCAACATGATTTTTAGCTCCTTGGCAACTCAATTTCATGAGTTTTTGCTATGCAGCGCTATAGCACTGCTACAGCCAACAACCCAGGCTGGAACGCATCGGGCTCTCCGGTGCGATCATGCGTTTTCGCGCTAAACTCGCAGATCGCTATTAGCAAGAATGATCCCTAACACTGTAGCCTAACACTTGGGCTCATATTGGCCATGCTTTGGCCCCTTCCCGTATGCAGGAGGAAGGCTGTCAGTTGGGACGAAGGTGATGCATTATAGAGCTGCACGGACAACCAGGTGCGTGATCACCGGTTTTCATGCGTTTTTTTGCAGCTATGCAATGCAGAAAACGCATATCTGACGAGAGGCTGTCTGTGTGTCTGTGTGTTCGTCTGTACCGATTTTTCATCTCGAGACCGGCAAAAGCTATGGGACTGAAACTTTGGGGGCATAATCTACATGCACGTACGGGCCCCCATCCCCAAAGCTGGCGCCAACGCGCACGGGCCTGCCAAAGTTTTTTTGGGGTCAGTTCATAACTTGAGGATCTGAGAAGCTAGAAGGCTGAAATTTTGGGGTAATGTTCCCCGCCCAAGCGGGTACTAGTGGGCTCAAACCCAGCCCCCGGGTAAGCATGGCACCCCCGTACGAGCCCCCCCAAAATTTTTCCCGCGCAAATTCATAACTCGGGGATCTGAGATGCTAGAAAGCTGAAATTTTAAGGGAATGTTCCCCGCCCAAGTGAGTATTACTGGGCTCAAACCCAGCCCCAGGGTAAACATGGTACCCCGTG